TCCAAAAGACTGAATCAATGCTTTACAACCTGGTCATTTTCCTTTCTTTTCTCCTCTCCACTCACCTCTCCTTCTCAACCCCTTCCTTTCCCCTGTAACCTCTGAAACCCCTCCTTTCCCCTTCCCTCCCCTTTCTCCTCTCCTCTCTTGTATTCTTTCCCCTGCCTTCCCCTTTCTTATTCTCACTGCCTCCTCTTTCTCTTTTTCTCTTAAGAATCTATTTGTGAAAGCCTTATAAGATGTTCTGAAAAATATATCTCTAGACACGTTTTTTCACTCTATGAAAAAGGTAAGGAAATTCTATTAATACAGGGAAAGGTGGAATCCAGGAAGACAAACAATGAAGAAGTGGAGGAGGACCAGGACTAGGAAGAGGAACTTGAGAGTTTTTGGAACTTAATTTTGGTGGCAAACATTTTATCTTCTGCTCTACCTGTTACCTTTCTAGCCCTGTACATATGTTGACTTTCAACAGTGTTCTTTAACCCTTGCTACTTCATAATAGATATTTTACTGAATCTATCAAGCTCATTTCTTCTCTACCTGAAACTTTTCCATCTCTCTTATTTCTCAGAATATACACATACACCATTTCCTCATTGTCAGTCAGACAAACCAACAACTAAAACCTTTCCTGCTTTAGTCCAAGCATTCTCTGACCTACAAATGCCTTTTACGTGATCCCTTTTAAAAATCATTTATATAAGTGACTACCAATTTGAACTATTAATATCACCCAGAAAAGTATGCATGTGTATATTAATGCTCACACATCTGTCCTCCATCTAGATACTGTAACTGAATCAGAATTTTCTGTGGGTCTAGAATTCCATAGGCATATATGACATATGAATAATAATAGCTTTGTGGGGATTAGAAGATTCTTTGCATAACTCAAAACCTCACAGAAATTCCTCAAAGAAGATCTAAGACGAGCAGGGCAAATGAAGCAAGAATTCTTTTGCAAATATAGCTTCTCCAACTCGAGAACTCATGAGAATCACATAAGATGTTTGTTAGAAAAATGACAAGTCACTGATTCAGTAGGCCAGGGATATAAAATAGGTTTTATATTTCTAATGAGTTTGTAGAATATGTTGATACTGCTGTTTGGGAGAGATCCACCATTCTAGAGTGAAGACTATAAGGAGTCATAGCTTTCTTAAAGAATCTAAAATGACTCAGTAGTTTTGGAATGGCAAGGTCAAAGAATAAATAAATACAGTAATAAGATATATGATTTGAAAATCAAGAAGGGAACAAATTTTGCAAAGCATTATGGGCAGTGTTTAAGGTCAGTGAGAAGACATTAAGGATTCAAAGTAGTACTTGAGATTAAACATTTTTAAGAGATCGTCTTGACTTCAATGTGAAGTGCAAAGAAAGAAAACAAAAATATTGCCTTGGAAACGATCGTAATCCAGGTGACACTTGAAAGAATGAGTTAAAGTAATGAAACATGGACTAATTTTAATTTCCAATTTCTATAGTAAGACTGCTAGCCTGACCAGAAACTGCACACCGACCAAATAAAATCATAGGTTGCCACCTTGAAAAATCAATGGATCACCTTCTTTTAGCACTCATGATTAGATTATGAATAACCAGAGAGCAGAATACAATTGTTCCTGATTTTTATTGTCGATTCCCCAAAATAGTGATTACAACATAGAATTGCTGGATATGTATAGAAGTGTATTATGAGCATGATCTCCAAATCCTCCAAGTTAAAAAAAAAGAAAAACAGGAAGATTATCATTTAAATTCATGATTCTTGACCATATTTATCTGAATATCCTTTAAAGAATCTTAGGAAAACCATGATTTCTCCCTATGTGCATATACAGCGGTCTGTGCACAACTTCAAGAGGTGTACACCTTACTTAATGTGTGAAAGTAACTTTTGGCCCCATAGTAATAATTGTTGAATGGAGATACACAAATTTAGAATCTCAACACATTGTCCAGTGAGTGATTTAAAGAATTTAAGTCCACAAAGGTTGATCAAAAATTTTATCATATCATTTGTTATAGCTTGTGTTTAGATGTCCCCCAAAGCCTCAGGCAGTCATGTGTGGGGATTTTTTCAGAGGTTGCTGGTTCTAAATTGTGTGATGCTGGAATTGACTCATGGTGCGATGCCAGGCTGAAGGGCACTGGTATTAAGGGTGAGTGCTGCCCACCCTGAGTAGCCAGGATAAGGTGCAAAGGGCAGAAAGATACTGTGGTTGTCCCTTTCTTGTCTTGCTACCTTCTACCCACTGTGAAGTTGCTCTTCTCTGTGATGCCCCTCTGCCAAGCCACGCTGCCTTGTTGCCACCCAACTATGAATTGAAACTTCCTCAGACTGTGAGCTAAATAAACCTTTCCCTTTCTGTCAAGCATTTTGTCTCAACAAGGAGAAAAGTAACTAAGGCAAAATTATATCATTTAGTTAAGGCCAATAATAACTAACTGGGTATCTAGAGAAGTCAATTTAAGATCATATCATATTTCTATAAATTTTTTTAAGTTTAATTGTTCTAAAAATGCAAGTTATTTTTGTCATAAAGAATGATAACACAAGAAAAACGCTATGGCTAGAACTGTTACATTGGTTCATTCAAAGAAGCAGAGAAAAGTAATTATAAGCAGGGTTTGAGAATACATCACATGGAATCAAGTGGCACTAACAGGCTGGCAGCACTTCCACTCTATTATTTTATCCCTGTATTCTTATTTATTCCTTAATTTTTTTTGTCACATACAATGAGAAGGAAGCCATGAATATTTAGTATCCCCCACAACCAATTTTAAAAATGATTTTTACCAAATGATTCAAAGGTACACAGCAGCACTTTCATGTTGTCTCTTTTGCTGTTTATTTAATGCTTCTCTAATCTTGTTTCATTGGCTACTACTACTGCCTGCAGTGCTCATTAAATAAGCAATTCAGCTTCGATTCTTTCTGAAGCTAAAATGGAGTTGCAAAATGGTTTCTATATACTCTTAGGAAAACCAAATTGACCCGGGAATGACTATGAGTCAGTTTATACTAGTGGCAAATAGGTTACTTCTTGCCTCAATGTTAGTAAGCTGCAATAGATGTTGCTTCATTAAGCAGACTGACAAACAATAAGTTTACTATTTCCTCCTTTGAGAAAAGGTAAAGGACTTCACTAAGTTCCTTCCCATGCATCTTTAACTGAATTTGAAAACAAGTTTAATTTTTATAGGACTTTTAAATAATTAAAGCAAAGGCCAAATTAGCTGAATGTAAAAGAAGTTTCTTAAACAAGTCTATCAGTGGCTCCTAACTTGACCAACTATTTCGAGGCAATTTGTAGGGAAGTTTAATAAAAATATAAATATGTAAATATGTCAGATAAAGTTAATTTCTTATTCAATACCACATCTAATAGTTATGGCAAATATATTAAAATAATTTTCAAAAAGTGATGTTATCTTTTATTAAATTGCCTGAATAAAGCTAGTTAATATGAAGACTATACTATATTTAAAATAGCCAATGATGAAGTTTTTGAGAGCAGAATTATTGAAAGCAAATAGCAGCAAAGTGATACAGAAGGTTTGTATGAAATCTGGCTTCAAGAATCAAAGGAAACAAAAAGTGTAAGAGGGAGATCACCGGGTTTCCTTGGAAAGCCAGATCAAAAGACCTACTAGTGGGGCTGGGGATTTAGCTCAGTGGCAAAGCGCCTGCCTGGCAAGCACAAGGTCGTGAGTTCGGTTCCTGGTACCGGAGAAAAAACAAAAACAAAAACAAAAAAAAACAAAAAAAAAACCTACTAGTATGAGAGTATTGTTCTGGACATATCCAAAGGAAAATAAAGCACAAGACAAAGAAACAAAAAGAACTTTGTTCTCTTGGCTTCATGGATAGATAGATGATAGATAGATAAATAGACAGATAGATGATAGATATATAGATATAGATATAAATATAGCTGATATAGATGTAGACAGTCTGTGCATGCCTAAGTAATTAGTCAAGGGGTAGGTAAATTGGATGTGAGAAACATATCCAATGATAAGAGCCACAAGTATTAAAAAGAATGATAATTCTGGGCTCATGGATCATCCCCAGGAGTAGCTGCCAGGGCTCAACATGGGGCCTGGGTCCATTTTTCTGCCTCCCAGCCTGATTCTATAGCCTGATGTCAACCAGCCATGACACACTGACCAGATCTTCTCTAGGAGTATAACCAAGGCCTCTCAACCAAGAGAAGATTTCCACCGTAAGAGAAGCAGGTCATCAAAGGTTCAGGTGAGGAAACAGAAGTACAGGGAGGTGAAAAACTGAGCTAAACCATAGAGCAAGATGGCAGAGTCCTATCTTCCCAAACTTCAGTGAAAGCTGGGCCATAAGTCTTTGTCTTTCCTGGCTCACCAACGCTCTTCTTTGTCTTGCTCCGCACAAGCTTCCTGGGTACACAGCATTGGGAGCTGAAGGGAAGGAAAAGGGGAAAGGTGTGCCCTCTGCCATAGGTCTTTGAGGTCACTACAACTTGGCTTCTTCTCTCCACCAAATGTCACTGCCTCTGTCAAGGTGACCTTCTCTGTAGTCCTGTTTGCATTACCTGCTTTTTCCATGCAGTCCAGGGATCTGCTACTGTGATCAGATACCTGTACTATCCTTGGAGTTCCCTATATCCTGCTTCCATCTTGGCAAATTGCTGCTTTATTAAGGCTGCTTAGATTGTCCTAAATTGAGGTTATCTTCATTTTCCTGCTAGGAATGTGACTGACTAGACTACTGCCCGTGAGCTGACCACCAAGTTCGCCACTCCACAAACTGTCCTGGGTCTTGCTTTTGAAAGATGGATAAACCTTCAGGTCTCAGTCAAGCACAAGGCCACTCTGCTGCTCTTCAATCTGCTCCAGCCCACTGCCAGTCCTTCCAGGGTTCCAAGTGCCAGTGGCTCATGTCAGAGTCTCATTCCCCTAGGGCACTACTCCTTTGTGACTTCACCCTCTGAAGTCACCTGCTAGGCAGTGTAGAATGTTCCATCCTAGAGTGTCGGCCTCTCAGGAGATAGGAACAGGAGGTTCAGTCAACCCAGAGGACTCTGTCTACCATATATTTGAGTTCGATGACCAAGTCTCACAGTGACACAGAGGTCAGCTTCAGAGGCAAGGGGCACTTCTGAATTCATGGATGAAGATGTTGTCCTTAGGAGACGTGGCTACATTCTGGGAATAAGTTTGGGAGAAGGCTCCTATGCCAAAGTCAAATCTGCTTACTCTGAGCGCCTAAAGATCAATGTGGCTATCAAGATCATCGACTGCAAGAGAGCACCCACTGACTTTGTAGAGAAATTCCTTCCCCGGGAACTTCGAGTTCTAACTATTCTAAACCATGGCTGCATCATCAAGACCTATGAAATTTTTGAGACAATACACGGAAAGATCTATATTGTCATGGAGCTTGGGGCCCAGGGTGATCTTCTTGAATTCATTAAGACCCGGGGAGCCCTCCAAGAGGATGATGCTCGAAAGAAGTTCCATCAGCTCTCCTCAGCCGTCAAGTACTGCCATGACCTGGACATCGTCCACAGAGACCTCAAATGTGAGAACCTCCTCCTTGACAAGGACTTTAACATCAAAGTGTCAGACTTCGGCTTCTCCAAATGCTGCTTACGAGACCAGAGCGGTCAACTGACGTTAAGTAAGACCTTCTGTGGGTCAGCTGCATATGCAGCCCCTGAGGTGCTACAAGGCATCCCCTACCAACCCAAGGTGTATGACATCTGGAGCCTGGGAGTGATCCTTTATATCATGGTCTGTGGCTCCATGCCCTATGATGACTCCAATATCAAGAGAATGTTGCGTCTCCAGAAGGAGCACCGTGTTTACTTTCCACGTTATAAGCACCTGACCAAGGAGTGCAAAGACCTCATCTACTGCATGCTACAACCAGATGTCAATCAGCGGTTGCACATCGACCAGATTCTTAGCCACTGCTGGCTGCAGCCCAAGACCCAGGATCTGTCCTCTGCAGACACCAGTAAGGGGGAATGCTCCTGGAGAGCTGAGCCCTCCTGCACTCTTAAACCTGGTTCTGACAGGAAATCCACTACTAAGCTGGAGCCTCAGAAAGAGGCACAGCCCAAAGAACAGCCTGAGACAAACTTGGATGAACATACTGTGCAAATGATTGTACAGTTGGAGGCCCTGGGCATTGGCAACCAGTAGGTGGCCAAGGAACCAAAGAGGATTCCCTTCTCCAAGCAGTCTCCAAAGGAGCATACCTAGAAAGCCTCTTGCGCATGACCCAGGAAGAACTTATAGGCTGAAGCTTGAGGCTATGAATGAGTCCTGATTTTTGTCAGTTCCTCTTCCTCTCTTCAAATTTGATAACTCACATGGCTAAAGAAACAATAAATCATTGTATTAGTGACTTTATATACTTGGTTCTTCCTCATAGATAAAAATTTGTACATCTGACATGCATTTTCAGAATCTAATTTCATGTTCATTATTCATTCAAGTTTATGTGGAAATTATGTGAAAGAACTGTAGAGTAAGTGTATACCTTATTCAGGGGTTTGGTGATATTAGCAAAATTTTATGTATCTTAAGGCTTAAAGATTTGTTAGTGCTTCTAAAACCCATCCAAGGAAAAAGCAGCTGTACAAAGACAGTTTAATTTTGATTGATGTATTTTTCTCAGGTATTGAAGGGGCAAAAAAGAAAGCTCTGCTTGAGGTTTTCAGAACTTGTCATAGATATACTAGAACTATGGGCTCTGTATTGAGCATCTGCTGATCTATAGAAATAAGAAATAAGAATTTTTTTATGTTAAAGAGAAAACAAAAACAAAAACAAAGACATAAGCAAAGCAACACAAAAACAATAAAAATGATACAGAAATTCAGAACAAGGTGATAGGAAATTAACAATAGTTGTATTACATATTATTGTCTTCAAGGTGTTTACTCAGATAACCAGATAAAGGAAAGAACCACTGTGATGAGGGAAAAGAGATAAGACTTTAAAACTTCAACTTTCTGTCTCTCTGTCTCTGTCTCTCTCACACATATGTGTGGGTGCACGCACATACACACACATACACACACACACGGAGGAAAGAAATGGGTTTTATTTTTAGTCAAATGTATAAGATAAAAATGGACATTAAAATATCATGAGCTTGAGAAATATTTGATGCAGTATTATAGTCTAAACAGATATGAATGCTGGTGAATTCACTCTTTAAAATAATCATCCTTGAAGGTTTTAATTGATGAATCATTTTCTGGCTTATTTCATAACATTCATAAATCCAATTAAAAGAGAATAAAATGTATTTCCTTATACTGCATGCAAAAAATTGCATGACATTGTGAATATCCTTTCAAATGTCAACTCTCCTAAGTACTAATAATGATAAAAGTGTGGAAATATGGATTCCTTCTGTGGGAACACAGCTGTCATATATATTACAAAATAGTTAAGAGTCACATATATGTAGTAAGTTTAAAATACAAAATTGATTATCTATATAACATTTTGATAACATACCTCCAGTTAGTTCTTGAATTCATTTAAACAAAAAATGACTTTATAACTTTAAAAAGTTATAAAAGAACTGATAGTTCTTACCTGTATTGAGAAATACATCTAATAATTATATTAGTAGACTGATTTTTAAAAACCTAGGTTTTTTATATTAATAACATCCCTGAAGATCACTTACATTAATTAATGACAGCCCTGTAGAGCACTGTAAAGTATGCCCTAATGAATATTTTGACTCAACTTAAAATATTGCAGTTTCTTACAGAAATCTATCCATTCTTGTCTGCTAAATTTATAAGCATTTTCATTAGTCTAATAACTAATATTGTTGCCAATATCAACACATACTTAATAATTACAGCTTTATATAGGGTTATGATCTGGCAAACTATAACCTTCATTACTTCAAATTACATACACTATGCAAAAAGATTTATGGGAAATTTATTGGGATTGGGTTAAATATAAGGATTAATATAGGGACAGTTGCCTTCACGCCAATATTGAATCTTCCAATAATATAGTATGTCTTTGTATTTATTTAAATTGGTTTAATGTTTCCAAGCAATATATTGTGATTTTTAATGTGAGGGTGTTGATATTGTTTGTTTAGGTTTTTAAATTATGTTATATGTGTGGTATGACTATATAAATGGAATTATGGAGGAGCATTTTCTAACTGAAGTGGTTTTTATAGAAGTAGTATATTTTAAAATAATATCAAAAGTTTGCCTCAGGCATTGTAGCATACTTTCTATATCCTGTAGTTACCTACCTATATATCATCATATCACTTTCAAATAGTGACAGTGTTGTTTTTATACTGGGGTATTCATCTTATTTTTTTGCCTTGATGAAACTTGAACAACCTATAGGGCAATGTTGAATAAATATGTCTAAAGTTGGCATCCTTGCCTTGTTCTTCATCTCAGGGAGAAAAACTTCAGTTTTTCATGAAAGTATGACATTAGTTCAGTTTTTTGGAAAAACTTTCATAAATCATTTTAAAGCAGTTTTACATTTATAGGAAAATTGAGTAAAAAAATACAAATTTGCTATATATAGACCTTCTTTGACTCATGAAAGTTCAATCTCTAAGTTTTTGCCTATATAACAGTACAGAAACAGTATGTATTCTGTAGAAAAAGTAGTTTGAACTTTGAATTTTGGTGTTTTTCCTGGATTAATGATATGTGAATTCTACATCCTCTTGTAATACAGCGCTGCGGCAGTAAGCCAAGCTCGCACAGCAGTAAAATTACTAGGCAAGCAACCAACAGCTGGTATATTTGGTAGTTTAAGTGTACTAAATGCAATTATAATTTATGATATGTTCAACTTATGATGGTTTATCAGGATGTGATCCCATTGCAAGTTCAAGAGCATATGTACTCTCTGGTTCCACAAATATAGTCATCCCTACTATCAATATCCTTCTCCAAATGTTACAATAAATGAATTTACATTAGCACAACATTGTCGTCCAAATCCATGGTTCACACTACAGTTCATTCTTGGTGCCATAGAACCTACAGGTTTGGACAGACATAAAATGATGATTATTTATCATTATAATTTAGTAAACAATACATTTTTAATTAAACATATTAAAATTCTCCTGTCTTAAAATTCTCCTGTACTCTACCTATTTATTTCTGCCTCCTTCCTAACCATGAACAGCCACTGAACTTTTTGCTATTTACCTAGTTTTGCCTTTTCCAGAATGCAACAAAGTATACAGCTTTTCCAAAATACTTTGATTGGTTTCTAATTTAGTAATGTATATTAATGTACAGTTAGAATTCCTCCATGCTTTTTATGATTTTAGTGACTAATTTCTTTTTTGATGATTCTTTTCTTAATGGCATTGTATCTAATGCACTCATCAAGTTATTCTTCCCTTTGTTTATAGTGCTTTATTTATTTCTAGCATTTTCATGTGACTCTCAGAATTTTCACGTGCTTTCATTGCCCACCTATTCATGCATGTTGTCTAACCCTTCCATTAAGAGTTTTTAATATAGTAAGCATTATTCTTTGGAGTTTTAATTTCAACATTACTCCCATATATCTAAGCTTGGTTCTGATGGCTGCTATAATGGTTCAATCTATGGTTTTATTTATAGAATGACTTATAGCTTTATCTTGTAGAATGCGCAACATGCTATATTGAGTAAGAGAACTGAGGTGAATAGGTCTTTAGTAGTGTAGTGGTTAAGTGATGTGTCCATCAGACATTTTCTTTAGGTCCAAAGTTAGATCTCAGGTTTTTAGTGAGCTGTAGTGCTTAGGCTTTTTCATTTTTTGTCATAATACAATGGATAGAGAGGCCTTGAATTGGGTATTTTTCTTTCTCAGTGTTGGCTAGATACTTATAAAAACCCCAACAGGTTAGCGTATTATAAATGATTTTTTTAAGTTAGTCTTTTTAAAAAACTTTTTTTTTTGGCCTCTTTTTTTTTTTTTTTTTTTTTTTGGTTTTTCTCCTGTACGGGGAACTGAACTCATGACCTTGAGCTTGCCAGGCAGGTGCTTTTGACGCTGAGCTAAATCCCCAGCCCTAAAAAACATTTTGAATGTATTTGAAAATGTCTGTTTCCTCACTCCCTCTGCCAGAAGCACAGGACATTTATTTTTCCAATCTTGAGGCCTATGGTCTGGTACATTATGACTCTGTCTTTCCAGTTCTAGGGACAGCCATTTGATCTGTGGTCTCCCTTCTTTTACAGGTCTCAAATGATTTGGTGACGTTTACTTTGTTCAGCTTTTTTACTTGTTAGGATAAAATGGTGATTTCAAAGCATCTTACATGTCAAAGTTAAAACCAAAACCAGCTGAACTTTGAAAAATTTTTTTCTAATTTTTATTCTAAACAGCTGAGTTTTTTGTTTTTTTTTTTCTTTTTCTTTTTTGTTTGTTCCAGGAATTGAGGACCTTGCACTTGCCAGGCAGGTGCTGTGCTGCCAAGCTATATCCCTGGCCCAATTGCTGAACACTTTAATCATGAATGGGTGCTAATCATTTTCACTTTTTTTTTCACTCTGTAGAAATGAGCATATAATTTTTCTCCTTTCATAATGTGGTGCAATTTCATTGCTTGATTTTTATTTATTTATTTTTGTTGGTTTGTTTTTGGTTTTTTTCTGGTACCGGGAATCAAACTCACAACCTTGTGCTTGCCAGACAGGCTCTGTGCTGCTGAGCTAAATCCCCAGCCCCTCATTGCTTGATTTTTAAAAGTTAATTCTACCTTAGATCTCAGAATAAAGTCTATTTGATCAAAATGAATCTTATTTATATAATTTTCCCTTAGTGTTCATAAGGCATTGCTTCAAGGAGTTCTGTCAAACATCAAAATCCATGGGTGCTTATGTCCCTATGAAAATGGTGCAACATTTACATTTGAGGTATGTAACTCTTTCTGTGTACTTTAGACCATTTTTTTCCTTTTTTTCCTTTATTTTTCTTGGTGCCTGGAATCAAGCTCAGAACTTTGTGCTTGCCGGGCTCTTGTGCTGCTGAGGTATACCCACAGCCCTAACTGTTCCTGTATTAATTGTAATACCTAACACTTTGAAAATACTACAGAAATGGTTACTATACTAGATTGTTTAGGGAATAATGACAAGAAAAAGTCTTCTACATTTTTCAGTACAGAAGTTATTTTCTTTAAAATAATTTCTATCACATTGATTGAATACACAGCTGCAAAACCATGGATTCAGAGGACTAACTGAATACGACACTGGCTAAGATTTTAGTTTTAATGAAGAACATTAGTTTTAACTTTTCTGTAATGATTTGGTAAGGTTGGTTAGGATATTAAGTTGTGTTAGACTCACAAACAAGGTAGGGAGTGATCTATTTTTCTCTTTTTTGTTGTG